CTTCCACAGAGGCACGAGATAAGGTTTGTGCTAGGGCTTCTGCTGAGACCGTAGATGTAGTTTACATGGCAGGTAGCATAACCGCTAACTCAAGCGCACGCTATTACCAATGCGAGGATGCATGTTTGCTAACCCCTACAAAGTAATCTGCGACAGATTTTAGGTAGGAATTTTAGAAGAGTTTGTGGTTTTAAGTTTTGATTTAAGCTTTTCCTCTTTCTTACAGTAATCCCTTCCCTCCCGATTGATAGTTGTTAAAAAGTATTGAATTATGAGCCCCACAACAGGATATTTGACTGACCTTGTAGACGGAATTTCCTCATACAAAAACTTCCTGTGATGACACCTATAGCAAAGCCTACGACGCCGGTTGTAGCTAAAATGCAAATGCATCATCAAGTTCTATAATCCAGAGAGGAGTTTCTTTGCTTCACCTAGGTATTTCTGAATCCTATACTGTGGAACGCCAAATTGAATTTCCAGGTACTTTCCGAGAAACACAAAAAATCTACAATCAATCAATTGATTTACAAATAGCATTGTAATGGTCGTTACCCTTTGAACGCCAGTACGTCGACAATTCTCCCTAACATGGCTCCGACGTAAATTGGGTTTCGGAATAGACCGCGAACGACTCCAAAGAACTCTAAATTAGGAGTTAGAGAGCTGCTGATAGAAAGTGTAATTCAAAACTTACCAGTAACCTTTTCTTTGGTGGTGACGTGATCTTCATGGATTTTCACGTGCTTGTCTCGGAGATTCAATCTTTTTCTTGGCTTGACAGGGCTAGAAAAGCTTTAGTTGTAAAGATTTTTTACACAAGGTCATTTTTCGAGAATTTGAAAGATTGGATCATCTATCTGGTAAATTACTCACGTTACATCACCATTAAGTTTGGCTTTTTCGAGAGCAATTTCATCCGTAATTTCATCCTCATCGAGATTATCCGAGGGGAAGAGAAACAAAGCTAGTGATGGGAAAAACAGAAGAGCACTAAATCATTCTTATTAAAAGGACAAAACATACGAAAGTTGAAAGATACCCAAAGATAAGGAATCCGAGCCACCAACAACCAATCCACATAGGATCCAGAGGAGTGAGGCCTTGTGGAGCTGAAATAATGGATCACTTTCCCCAAAAATTTTCTGGTTTTCAATGTACTGCAATTGATTATGAACTACTTTGAGCTCAAAAAAGAATATAAGACGTCTGTACTTACGATCGAAGGTGTAGTAAATCTCGTTTAGCTTGCTACCAACCAGCAAACCGATGACTGGGCCAAGAATTTTCACAAAGAACATGCAGGCTAAAGTTTGATCAGGTTTGCTTGAATTAATGGAATGGGCAGTGTTTCATACCGAAATAAACAGGCAAATTGTTCTTCTTTACGTTATCGTCCATGAGTGGCAATCCCAATGAGAATGGCATCGTTCTAAAGAATTAAAAAGTGATTGAGTTTTAAAGTTCTAAGCATAGCATTTTGACTGATTTCTTTCATTTCCAGTAATTTTCTAATAATGATATTTATACTCATTCAAACTATGGAGCCGCTAACCATTTTTTTAAAGAATAGAAGAGGCTTAATGAGAACTCGGTTTAGGAATTCTTAAAAATGGGAAAGTAGAGCGAATATTTACATAGTGAAACAATAGCGATAGTACAGAAAGAAACAAACTCAAGTCTAAATAAATTATGTATTTTTAAATGGACTAATGGAAAATAATCTATTCTGAGCAGTTACGTTCTTTTATTCTTTTGCGAAGTTGCCGCAGGCAAGAAATGTGTCCATTTCAAATACTTTCTACTTTTTAGATTTTATAAAACTGCATTTAAGTTGCTGCGAAAATTTTCGAAAAATACGTTGCGAATTTCATAAAATGATCTTGTTTTGCCTAAAAAATGAACGCTGCACAGCTTGAAAGACAAAACTCAGGTTTTATGATGCAACATGGCTGTGGTTACCTACTTGTAGAGAGTAGATTTATTGGTATCTTTA